ACATTTCAATTCCTTTGTATGGAAAATAAGCATTCCCTCCAATGGGCACTTTTCCCCATCCACTCTCTCTGATTCCCTTGGTAACAATGGCCACCGTGAGCCCAGATCTGTGGACGTGGTAGACATTCCAGATCCTTATAGCTCACGGAAGATTAACACAGACGTCAAACTGACGTTACCAATTTACGGGATTTAAACACTCAGCTTTAGAGTAAACAAAGTCCAGTGGCAAGGTTTAGACAATGTCAGTGATGTTCAACAATGCAACCCAGATGTCAGGGAATGCAGACTTCACAAACGTATGCTTCTCATTGCATCGGTCATGAGCAAAATGTAAGTGGGTCAGACAGGCTAATGAAGGAAAGAAGAATGCATAATAACTGGGTGACTTTTATGGGGCAGATATTATACCAGGTACTTTCAATATATTATTGCATTTAAAAAAATTTGCAGTGAGGTAGCTATTATTTCTATCTTATTGATGAGGACATGAGGCTCAAACTCTGCAATGTGCATAGGTAACCCAGTTGGTGAATGGCAAAGGTAGGAATTAACCTGTGTGGGTATGTCTTGAAAGTCTTTGTGCTTTCCAAAAGTCAACACTGACCACTTATAACAATCCCTTGCTTCAAACCTTCCAATTTCTCAGGTAACTACTATCTCAGCTAATGTCTTAGCTAACTTTTAGTGTCTGGGGGGTGGCACTGCCTTCTTCTCTGGTCTTGTCTTCTGCCACGCAGAAGGAAAAGCAAGTCACCCAAGGCTGGGGCTCTCTCACAAAGCAGGGTCCTGAGCCTCCCCACATCAGCCAGAATTAATGCTATGTGTTTCTTCCTTCCCAGGTCTGCTGACTATTCTCTGTCCATGACTCTATGCTCTGTGCTTCACAACTGTTTGCCAAGTGAATTAATGGACGGATGAATGAATGAATGAATGAGTGAATGGGTATTTCAAATACTTTGGTAATCAATATTTTAAAATTTTTATATAGCACTAAGTAAGTGCTATGAATATTACAACTCTTTGTGAATAATTCATAAAAGCATAATTCCTAAAGATCCATATTAGACATGATTCAGTGGTAAACCAGGGTGATTGTGTTCCCTCTACCCAGGGGTGACCATTTTGGCTGTCACAACTAGGGCAGAGGGTGCTACTGGCATTCAGTGGGTAGATGCCACAGATGGTGCTAAGCATCCTATAACACACAGGGCAGTCTCCACAACCCCAACAAAGAATGATGTCCATAGTGCCCATGTTGACATCCCATAGACATGCTCCCCAAATTGTGAAATAGCTTTCTGCAATCTTTCCTCATGTTTAGAGGTGATTTTTTTTTTCTGCTTTAATTCAGATTTTGGACCAGCTAGGCTGGCTTTCACTGCCTGAATCTGTCCCACCAAGGACTGTTGAAATTTTCCTGGGGATATGCTTCTAGAAAGGTCAGAAATACTTTTGTTCTGTAGGAATGTTTTTGCATATTCGTTGACTATCAACTGGTCATCATCGTCTGTAACTCAAATAACATAATGAATTCAGCATTTAAATTATTTACCCAGATTTAATTCCAGCAACTATTATCTTTGTATTTTTCTCTTTGCCAGCTAATCTGGCTTGCTGCATTGGAATTTTGGTCATGCCCATTCTCCGTAAATTATCTCCTTAACGCAGTATAAACAGAACAAGCTTGTGTGTGATATGCTTAACTGTTAATTTACCTAATTAAACTAATTCAATTAAATCATTTACATCTTTTTGGTATCGCGCCAGTTGATACTACTGCAGAAGTGGGATGTTTTAGAAGATGATTGTTCAGCAAATGAATGGGGGAAAAAATAATGGAGCACAAAATGAAACAACAGCCGAAGTCTCTTGGCTTGAAAATTAAATGATACTAAAAAAAAAATAAAAAAATGCTGCTTTCACAGGGTATTGTGATTAGCTATTTTTCTTAAGTCAATTTTCTCTAGAAATTGGTATTTTAACATCGTGATCATAATTTATTGTGTAAGATATTTTAAACACTATTTATATGTTCACATATATGGTATGTGTAAGTAATGTGTGCTCATTCCCACACATTAGGGTATGAATAGTAAGATGCTTTGCGGTGCCAGCAAGATGTGAACTGAGCGGATTCTTTTGAACAAACCTGAAAAATAATTTTGCTAAATTACATAAATATCTTTAGGATGCATGCATATTTCATTTACAGTCATCATCTAAACATCCCTGTCATAGTGATACATGGGCAAAAGTAAATGCAAAACATTTTATGCCAATAAAAATCAACAGGGAAAAAAAGAAATCCAAGGCAGGAAAGCCTAAATAAATTGTCGTCTTTATGGATCTGCCATAAATCCCCACGGTGGGCTTGGCTGACACAGAGTCTGCATCTGTGTGGGGCTGCAGATGAACCAGGTTTGTTAGTAGGTGGCCACATACTAGTAAATTCATCCTTCCAGGCTCCAGATTGGCAGAGGAGGGATGTGAGGCAGAATTTGGTCTTCTCCCCAAGAACACACACACCCAAGGCAAGACCTGAGCTACTGCTCTGCCTCAACTTATTCTGGGCAAGTAAAGCCTGAGGTTTGGTAGAACTCCAGAAAAGCCACGAAGGAAACGAATCCATATTCAGGAACAACCTTCCGACGTCCACCAGGGAAACCAGAGAGAGTGCAGGGTGAATCCCAGAGAGGCAGTGACAGCTGCCGGCCTGAGGGTTCCTTGTCAGTAAGGCACATGCTCTCCACCATGCCTCCGGGCAAATGGGCAAAGTAGTGTGTCTCCTGGAAGCCCTTGCTTTCTCCCTTGTTCTAGTTCAAATCCAAGCACCCTTTCCCTCTATTCAGGAATCACAAGAGATAATCTATAGGATCAAAATGGAGTATTTTAAGAAGATGGCTTTTTTCTTTTACTTGGGAAGTGAACTCTACAGATGGTTCTCTGGGCTCAACTTTGGATGGGGCCATTTGACATTACAAATAGCAATGGCTCTCATACATCGTGCACTTTCTGACAATAGAGTTTTGGAGGTTGCCAATCAGATTTCTGATGCTAATATTCCTCCCTTCCCCCCTTCACCCCTTCACTCAAGCTAAACTATTTTTCTTTGAGTAAATATCAGTTCCTTAAAGCCAGGTTACCATGTCTATCCTTCCTCATTGCCCTGCCATAGTGATGGACACAGAGAAAACATATGGATTATTTTTCTCATGGTTAATAAACAGTAAAGAGACCATTTCCAGATTTAATTCACCTTTCCACCCAAAACAACTATCCTTTTTGACTCCACAGCAGGTCGGTGATGTCTGAATGCCCCAGCACCCAGGCTTGGGTTTTGGCTTAGTGCCTGATGAATCGCCTTGCCAACATACATCCATGTTTCCTATCTAATACTTGTGTGTGGTCCTTCCTTTGCATCTTCCCTCGGTTTCTTAGCAGTCATGCCCTTGCCCTTCTCAATATCCAATAAATGCAACTAACTTGAAGAGCAACTGTAAAACCTGAGATTCCTCCTATCTTACTTCCCCAGGGCTGCCACAACAAAGGAGGGCAGGCTGGGTACCTTAAACAATAGCCATCCATTTTCTCATATTTCTAGAGGCTAGAAGTCTGAGATCAACGTTGTCAGAAGGGTTGCTTCTTCTGAGGTTTCTCCCTTGTGGATGGACATCTTCTCCCAGTGTCCACCCCTCTGAGAGGGTCTGTGTCCCCATCCCTCCTTTTTATAAAGATAGCCCATTCTCATGACCTCGTTTTAACTGAATTGCCACCTTAAAACCCCATCTCCAAATACAACCTCATCTGAAGTGCTGGGGATAGAACTTCAACATATGAATGTCACAAGGACATACTGGCCTTTAACACCGCCTGTTATTATTCAAGAGCTGATAGAGAGGGAAAAAAAGAGTCTTACATCCTGAAACTTTGATAAGTATAATACTAGATAGATACCATTTTATAGATATAAAACTAATATTTTCCCTTTTGCTATCAGGAAGTATTGTAAAAGGTGAAAGATTTATGCGATCTGAAGAGAAACCAGAGCATATGAGGAAGTATTGTAATGCTGCCTCCCAACTTCTAGTTCCCACTTCCTCCTTCAATGTTGCCCTAGTTTTCATTCTTCTCCATCCACTGCTGTGCTTTCTCTGACCAGTCTCGGGTGTCTTGCTGATTCCACTTACTTGTCTGTCACTGGTTAGGTCTGGTCATGTGACCCAAATTTGGCTAAGTGAGAGGAAGAAATGTATGCTGGGGGCTTCTGGGAAGAGGTTTGCTATGAAGAGACCTAGAAGTTGAATCTTTCTTTTTACCTATGGACCATAGTGGGTCTCTGGGTAACACCTAGACTTTCTGAGCCCATATTGCAACCTTGAGGGCACCTGACATAGGGCGAGCTAACATAAGGATAGCATTATTTGGGAGCTATTAAAAAAGTCCAGATCTTCAATGACATCATTTAGCCACTGAATCCACCCATCAGAGAGCCTGCCCTACCGCTAAACTTGTTTGGTGAAGTGATACTTTTTCTTATTATTTAACCCATTCTGAAATAAATTTCTACCACTTTCAGCCAAAAATATTTGAATTAATAGGATGGCTTTGGGCCACTTACTAGCCACTAACTAATCACTCTGAATGCCTTGGTTTTCTTATTTTTAAAACAGAGATAATGATGCTTACACCCTAGCATTATTATATAAGGGAGGTTAGTCATGTAAAGTATTGCCTTGTACTTAGCAAGTGCTCAATAAACAAGGGCCTTGACTAGCTTTCAGGCGGTCTCTGATATCTTGGCAATTGTTCTTCTTGTCTTTCCCACATTCAGAGTGGACTGACAATTCAGGCTGTTGATATTTTTATACACAGAATTATAATCATATTCACCAAGATGGCTTTCCATCTCAAGGAATTCTGCACCCGGCTGGCTTATCTATATTTATAAAAGGCTAAGTAACCGACCATCCTACCATCTGACTGACCAGCAGGTACATATGATGTGCACTGGCAATTTAAAAATAAATGTTGACTTGTGTGCGATACATATAAAGTTTTCGCTGGCGCTAACCTCACACCTGTGTTTCGATCTATCATTGTTGATCATGAATTTAGTTGATACTTCTATTTTAGAGAAAGGGCAAACAGCGATATTAAAATATTTCTTCTAATTAATTGCCTCTCAATGTGCATGAATCCATGCTCTGGGCCACTAGTTTGTAACGAAGTGTGAACTTCTGACTTAAAAGTTATCAGCCTTTTTCTTTAGCAAGAAAGTATATGCTCTTCCCAAAGAAATGTCTCTTTCCCAAAATTGTTCATAGGTTGCACTCTCTCATCTGGAGCTTTCTTGAGCAGGACACACTGCATGGTGGTCTCATAACGGGGGTCTCATGACTGTGTCCTGCCTATGCTATCCTCTCTGAATTTGGTTTCTTTCATTGCCCTATCCCTCCTCCTCCCTCACCTGCCCATGGCACCCAACACAGTGCTTTCCACTAATCATTACTGATAAGTACGCACTGAACAAACACATGGTTGTAGAGATCATTGTAACTAAGGTTGGGGAGGGACTGGTGATAGGTAGATACACAGGGAGGAGATGGAGAAGCATATTTTTGGAAACTGCATTGTGGGGCATTTGTCCTTGTGTTCCACTCCCTGCCCAGACTGTCTCCAGGTGCACGCCTATGATGGGGCCATTGTGGGGCTCCCAGGTGGCCTAGTGAGTACAGAATATTTACTTATATATGAACAATTAAGCAGGTCAACTGCTTAATCTAGGTCAGGCACAATGTCCCAAGTTATATGCTCTCACTTGATCACCGCCGTTAGAAGGGTAGGAAGCCCATTTTATAGATGGAGACATTGAGGATGCAAAAGGCAAAGTGCCCAAGGTCCCATAGCTGATGAGGAAAATAGCCAAAACGCACACTAGAGCCCATGCTTTTCTTTCTAGGAGTCAAAGGGTTTGAAGATTGTCTGTGGTCAGGAAATGCCAGAGGACCCAGAGGCATGACAAAGTCACGTCAACCAGGGGGAGGCTCTCTGGTGTGTAACAAAAGCAGCCCTACAGGAAGAGGTCTGTTTTTCCAGCATGGCCCTGGGCAAATCACAGATCACTGACTCAGTTTATCCATCTGAAAAATCAGCATATGCGTATTGGCCATGTATTGTTCTTGAGATCCCTGCAAAAATTTCTCAAACAATTTTAAATAGCATCAAGGAATTGCATAGTAGGTATTTATTCCTGGCACACAGTAGGCATTCAATAAATGTCTGAGAAATCAGTTAAAGCAAAACAGAACCAACGTCTGTACCTTTTGAAAAAATGGTTCACTTTTTTTCTTTCTTCTTTCTTTTGTTCCCTATCCCCGCTTTGATACCAGCCAGCCCATAGCATTCACCCTTGGGCCGGCTGGTCACACCTCACTGGGCACTAACTGGCTAGTCCCAGCTGGTGTGCACTGGGCCGCCCACAAGTCATGGGCAGTCTGGTTGTGATGGCCAAAGCTGGGCCAGTGACAAATGGGCTCTCTGCGCCTGCGATCTGGTGGGGCCAATTAATCACCGGGAGGCGCTCTCTCTGCATATGTATGGCCAGGGGTACCCCTGACCTTCCATCAGGGGCAGGGAGCCCAAAGCTTTGGGAGAGATTTTTTTCCAAACTAGAGAGACTAGAAGTGGGTTTGGAGGGTACGGGGATGTTTGAGAGAGAGGGGGGGGAGGGAGAGAGAGAGAGAAAAGACCCGAGGAGAAAAAGGGAAAGGTCAAAAAACTAAAATGAGGTATGAAGGTGATGAATGGTCTCAACCAGACGGTGGCTGTCCTGTCTGGCCTTAGGAAATCAAATTAATGGGGATCACTAAAGAATTTAGGTCAGATTTATAAAAAACATTCCTCCGTACAAACTGTTCAAATACAGTTTTGCAGCCGGAAGCATCCACAAAATGTCTTCAGAACACAGTCACAGGGGTGTGTGTGTGTGTGTGTGTGTGTGTGTGTGTGTGTGAGTGGTGGTGGATGGTAATATGCAAGAGGACGAGAGCCAATATGTGTAGCTGTATTGATGAAGAAATATGTGTGTATGGGATGTTTGCAGGGGGAAAAATATATGGCTATGCTGCCTGAGCTGCACATAAACCAACACGCTATCCAGAGGCACTCATTATATCTGTTTTTATCGCAAAACATAAACGTGAGGCAAGAGGTCACAGAGAACTCGAAAGATACGCCTTGAAGATTCTCTGTCTCCTCAAAGAGCGCCAGAATCTGCGGCAAGGGAAGTCGCAGAGAAACCCCGGGCAGAGCCTCCCCCTTCGCGTGACCTGCCCACATGCATAAAGATGTCAGTGTGTTGATTATTCTGATTAGACTTTTAGTGTAATTTATGGGGTCCGGCCATTGTGCCTGGGTGTCTGGCCTGCACTGGCTGCCCGGACGATGCCATTTTTAAAATGTCAGCTCGGCCATGATTCATGGCTGATGCTAGTGACATTGCTGCTGACCTGAAAGAGTTAGGCGGCAATATTTAATTAAAAAGGAAAAAAAGAAGAAGAAAAAGCTTAAGGAAAGTCGAGGGAAAAATAAAAAAAAAGGGCCAAAGTCTTCTCTGGGAAGATCAGCACCTCAGAGCGCGGAGGCGGCACTGGGAGCCGGTGTGCTTTGGCTTGTTTGAGGGGCTGCACGTCCTCCTGTCACTTGGAGTGGCAAGGTCACCCTTAATGAGGGAGAGGGGGGCTCGGCTCCCACTCACCGTCATGAACCGGCTCCCATTCCAGCTCGTTCGGGGATTCCCTGGAAGGTGGAGCCGTCACTTTCAGTCCTGGCCATGTGTGAGTCGGCCTGCCTGCCACCCAGCCCACCGCTGCACATGCACCCGGGCTCCTGCACCTGCCCCCCGGATGCCCAGCTTGCAAAAGACCATCCTCAGTCTACGCTCCCAGGCCCTGGCTGCTGTGCAGGCTTTGGGGGGAAATGGACACTGTGGAACCTGTGGTCCATTTGTTGGGAGCGTAAACCCGGCCCTGCACCACCACCCACAGGAGCCACGACCCACACTGAGAACAAAGGGCCGGTTTAAGTGGGAGAACAGTTATCCCTTAACACACACTCCTCACACAGATACAGACACACGTCCGCAGGCCTTAGCGGACAGCCCTTTCCCAGTAGCTGAGGACAGACTTTCTCATTAGTGGGAGGCTGCGGCGAGCTGAGGTTTGGGAAAGAGGCCGGCCTTTGTCCGGGCCTGAGGGAGCCAGGCTATTGTCTTCCAGGCTCTCTTTCCCCAGCGACCCCAGGGTCGGGGGCACACATGCCGGCCTTGAACTCCCCGTCTGTCTCCCCCACCATATTAATTACTATTCCCTTTGGTCAGGCAAGGAAAACAGCCTCGACTGCATTAGTGCTAATTAAGAAGAGTGAGCTCGCCATCCTGGCAGCTTCCACCGGGTGGCTGGGGCCAGGAAGAGCCCTGACAATCCTATTACTGGGGAAGAAAACACCTCCCCCTGCTCCTTCCTGATCAGCGAGCCTGCAGCGCCCTCCCGCCAGCCCCCGTGGTGCGTTCCCTCCCGTTACGGATGCATCTGCTCCGGAGGCCAGTGACCGGCAAGGACAGCGGGTCAGCCGGCCATGCGGGCGGGGAAATAGCTACGTTTCCTTAAAAGCCAAGCGGAGTGAGCAGAGCAAGTGGGGGTCATGTCCATCTCTAACTCCATCTGTCACCTTCTTCCTCTTTCAAACACCATAAGTAAAGGAACAGAGAGACAGACCGGCTGAACAGACATGGGTAACTCACATCACCCTCCCCTAAATCCACCTCGCTCACCATGTAAATTTGCCGGCTATCGCTGCCTCAAAAAGCGGGTTTGGAAGCAGGTTTCCTACAGGATGGAAGACAGCTAATGATGATCTCACTGTCCCCTCCATCAAGTTCTCCCTGTCATCCTCACTGCCCAGAGCCATGCCACGGCCTCCACATGACTCAGGGACTGCCTGCTCCCAGCTTCTCCAGGAGGTCACAGGGCTGCATTCTAGGGATCGTAGGCTATGCCGCTTGCCTGGCTTACAGCCACTGGACCCGTCTATAGCAGAAACCTCCTTGGCATGGTTTATGGTCCCTTGACTACCTGGATAGGTCCTTCCTTGCTTTTTCATCTTTTGTCAACCTCCTTCCACCAGGGTAACAATCCCCCCAGTCACCCTCCCCCAGGGCTGTGGTCCCCCCAGTCACCCTCCCCCAGGCCAACGGTCCTCCCAGTCACCCTCCCCCACAGCAGCAGTCCCCCAGTCACCCTCCCCCAGGGCTGTGGTCCCCCCAGTCACCCTCCCCCAGGGCTGTGGTCCCCCCAGTCACCCTCCCCCAGGGCAGCGGTCCCCCCAATCACCCTCCCCCACAGCAGCAGTCCCCCAGTCACCCTCCTCCAGGGCTGCAGTCCTCCCAGTTACCCTCCCAGTCACCGAGGGCTGCACTGTCCCAATCACTCTGACAGAGGAGCGGACACCGAAGCTTGCATGGGCCAGGAGGATGGAATGTACGTCAAAAGCAAGGGCTCAGAGGGCACAGCTAAGGGGAGAGCCAGCCGCTCCCTTCTCACCCGCCCCCTCCAGAAGGGTCACCTACTACTCACGTCCTATTGGGAATAAACACTTTTGGATTCCCATTCACGCACACCTCCCTCACAGAAAGCATAGGCATATATGGAATTGGCCAGATTTTACATGTTGATAACTAATTAAAATTGGAAGGCCAAACAAAACATATTGGTCGACACCCCCAGTTGGGGACTTTGCTCCCCATTCTACTTGAGGATGTTGCCACGGCTCCCTGAATAAACCCAGCATCCCCGGACTTCCCTGCCAGGCTCTGCCTCTGCCTGTCTGCGCTGTGAAATTAGTGAAGGCCTTGCCATGTGCTGTCAATCTAACTCAGCACCAACCTGCCACCGGCTGCCATGCTGGGGGTTGCCAGCTATATCAGGATGCCCAGTACAGTCTGAATTTTAGTGAACAAGAAATCATTTTAATTATGTTCTGAATATTGCATGGGGCGTACTTGAACTAAAAAGTATTCATTATTCACCTGAAATTTCAATTTAACTGGTTGTCTTTTATTTTTTCTGCTAAATCTGGCCACCCCATGTTGGCTCCAGCACACCCACCCTGTTCTCAGCAGGCACTGTCCCAGGGGCTGGGAATACAGCAGGAAACAAAATGGACCAAAAAAACACACCCAAAACCGAAAATAAACCCCTTTCCACACGGAGCTGATGTTCTGCAGCCAGAATCCAGGGTTTCCTCTTCTATCCCAACATCAATTTGGCTCAAGAGTTACATATTATAGAAGTCATTCGCCTGCCAAAGAACCTCAGAAGAATACTGTCTGCATTTCACAAATGGGGGTGACGCCTATGTTTCAGGTTGATATAAACATGTTTGGTGACAGACACAGGTATCGTCCTAGAATCGTGGTTGGCAAACTGCAGCTCGCGAGCCACACGCGGCTCGTTGGCCCCTTGAGTGTGGCCCTTCCACAAAATACCATGGCCTGGGCGAATCTATTTTGAAGAAGTGGCATTAGAAGAAGTTTTAAGTTTAAAACACTTGGCTCTCAAAAGAAACTTCTGTCGTTGTACTGTTGATATTTAGCTCTGTTGACTAACGAGTTTGCCGACCACTGGCCTAGAACAATGTCTGGCACGAAGCAGGTGGCCATGTGGTGCAATAGGTAAGACCTGGTACCAACCTTTAACCATCTACACTTTAATATCCCCCTTAGTCCAAAACACCCCTCCAAGGACTGACATCCTAATTATCTCTGTGTTTCCAATGCCTCACACATTGTTAGCATGTGACAGGGACTTGGTGGGCCTGTTTAGGGGGGTCACAGTTATGGCTGCTTTAGTACATGACGAGGCATGGATTTTACTGTCTCTGTACAAGCAAAGAGAAATGGAAATTTGAAGCAAGCTCCTGGATAAAGACCAAACATTTAATTGCAAAGAGAGAGTGGGTCTCTTTTTAACTTGAATGATACAATTTGCATTTATCCCAAATGGAAAGTATCAGAAAATTCACTCTATTTCCCTTTTATAATGTTGTAATGCAACTTGTATCAAGGAATTTTGGTACACAGATTTGGAGACTGGACTTTTTTAAAACGTGTTTTCTGGTGATAAAAGTCATTTGTAAAATAAAGTTGTAAGAGGCCCTCTAACTCACCATAATCCCACCATTCAGGACTAGTGCCTGTCAAAATCTGTTATATTCTTTGATCCCTTTATGGTGTGTGTGTATTCCTCCCCCTTAGGTATAATATATATTATAATTTTGAATCCTATTTTATGTAATCTTATAACCTGTTTCTTTCACCTCATAGTCTTCCAAAACATTCATATTCTTAAAAAATATATTTACATAATATTCCATATGTATGTATATATATGTATAAAATACTTATATACACATATAAAATACATATATACATATATATGTATAAAATACATATATATGTATAAATTACATATATATATGTATAAATGTTCCATTTTTATAAAACCAACTATTTATTGTTAGACATTTCGTGGATACAATTTTTTTTTCATTATTTAAAATAAAGATGTGATGAGCAAGTCTGTGATTTCTTTTTTGGGGAGAAAAAATCTTAGAAGTTTGCTCAAGGGAATGCACTGGGGTAAGATCCTTGAAATGTACAAAGCACCTGACCTGTAAGGATCATTATAACCAAGAGTGAGGAAATGCCCTAGACCTTGAGGAGCAAGCTGAGACCTCCAACAGTGTCAGTAGAGGTGGGTCTCAACATAGGGAGAAGCAGCTGGACCTTGGCACCCTAATCTTAGCTCCAAGATTCGCCTCCATTTGGCAAAGTGAAAATTGAGCTTTGATTTTTATGAAGGCAGCTGGTTAGTTTCCTTAGCCCAAGGGGGTTTTTAGAACTGTTAAACTAATAATGGATTATCTATAAGAAGATAGCATTATGAAGTTCGTTATTAAAATCAAAATGTGTATCTGTCTAAGTTTTGGATGAAGATTCCTATCTAATTGCAAGAAAATAGGGTCGGATGATATTTAAACTTTAAGAATCCCAGAATCCATTCTTTAAAAAAAAAGGTTGACAATGGAGATAGCAAATGCATGGTCTGTATGCCAGGATTCTCCAGTCCTGAGCCTGCTGGTTGCAGCCCTCTTTTCAAAGCTCCTGGAATTCCCCTCTGAGTCCTCATCATAGCAATTTGGGTAGCCCATGTCAGTTGACTGGAGCTAGCACATAACTCCATTTTATAGCCCAGATACAGAAATACACTTTACAATACAAATGAATTGGAATTAGGCTGTTTTATGAAGAGATGAGGAGTTCAGAGCCTGCACCACTTCTGTCCCTCAGAAAAGACTGTTTAGAGTTCTATTTGATGGCCACTGATCTAGTCCATCTGTCCCATCCCACCAAAACCTGACATTTCAAGATTCCTGCACCTGTTATTCACATAGTAAGAGATAATTTTTATATAAACAATCTCATTTGACATCTTGTTCGCCTTCTTTGCTGTATGACTCTGTTCACTGGATTGAGGTGTGAACAGAAGTGGTTGGGGCCCACCACTGTCTTCACAACAGAATCAACAATGGGCACTGAGAAGTAAAAATGGGGTTTTGACACTAATATGTCTTGGGTGGAATCATTCTGATTTTCCCCCACAATTTTGGCTGTAAGAGGCTTCAGGAGGCTTTGGGGAAGTCACCTTCAAGCTTCCCCCAACTGACCTTACGTAAGGACCATTCTGAATTATTGAATTAAATGCAGATCATTGTGACACCAACAGTACTGATGCTGAGGATGATCACCCCACGAGTGCCCACTGAGATGGACAAGCCCCAGAATGGCCAGGCTCTGCCACTGTCCAAAGAGTCCTGTCTCATCTCCTCCTGGCTGGGTAGAAGGGACAGGCGGGGCCGTTTACCCAGTTCCAGGGCTTGCATGAAGCGCAGCACCAGGCAGGCTGGGGCCACTGCCATGGAGCTGCCACTGAGTATTACCATCATCCCAGACAGCAGCATGTCCGCTGAAAAGAGAGATTTCAAACCCCACAAGCTCAGCCCTCCATCCCTTGTTCTCCCAGCCTTATAAAAATAGAAAGAACACATGTTCCCATTAGTCACTTGCTCCAGGGTTGCTGGGGGGTATATGCAAGCAGCCTGTACACTGGAACCAAATTTGAATATCATTTGCATCTTCCAGGTAGACAATGGATATAGCACCAAACACACAGGCACAGCCCCCCTCCTCTTCTCCTCACAAGGCATCAAGTGAGGAGACCAGCTGACACTTCCTGGGAGCACCGGCCTACGGTTTGTGTATTTTCACATCCACTTGATAAGGCCCCTCCTGGCCAATGAAGGCCCCCCCTGCCCCAGCTGGAGAGGCCTTCTGAGAGGCTTTTAATTAAACCTCTGCTTGCCAAGAATGCTTTGCATATGCACAGAAGGGCAGCATTCCCGGGGAAGCCATAAAGACAGTCACTTTTACCTCTGTGTGTTCTTCCCCCCGTGAGGCCGTGGGCAGAAGCATGGCCTGTGCTGGCAGCCCCTCTGGAAAGAGCACCTGCAGGGAGATGCAGAGTGGAGCCCACAGTGCAGTGGCCCTGGGCCGCCTTCCCTTGCTGGTTGAGTCCTGGCTTCGCTGGCACTTGTGGGACTCCGGGGGCAGCAGCGTGGAGGGTAAAGAACAGGAGAGAAAGGGCCGCATGGAGCTCAGGTCAGAGTTAGGTCACAGCACAGCCAGAAGGAGAAAGACTAGAAGAGCCTTCAGACTCTACAGGTGGCTCAGTTATTGACCTGCGCATCCCTTCTGGGAGGGACGCAGGATCCAAGAGCAGGAGGCGCTCTTTGTGGCTCTGACCTGCCGTGACCCGACCTTTGTAACTCCATCAGGACTAGTGGTCAGTAGTTATCAACTGTCAATAAACCGCCAAAACACACACTTTAATTCAGAATGCGGGAAGGCCCATCTATTTGCTGATCGATCTTGGCCTTGCAAGTTGACAAAATGCAGAGTCCCCTGTCTTCTTATCATAATATTGAAAATATGTGCTGCGACAAATTGAATGATCTACACCTCTGTGCCCCACTCCCGAGGCCCTTAGTAAATACAAGACGATTGATTGAGATAAAGGGGGAAGGGGAGGGCTGCGGTGTTCCTCTAAACTAAGAAACCAGCGCCACGGAACCACAGGCCGGAGGCCCACCCGGTCCATGTCATTAAGTTCATCTACTAAAATCCCATGGAAAAGACTAGGGGTACCTGGCCCGTTAGCTGGATAATTTTTAAACAATCTGCATGTCTGACTAACTGAGACAAAAACAAACTTTGGGGTCATTTAACAGAAAGATGGAAACCTCTTCGCACATGACCTTGTGCTTTGGGGATGGGGGTATGTCTGTGGTTTTGTGATTTCTTCCTCCCCCTCCTCCCAACCCCCCGCAGAGAACAATACTGAGGTTTTGGAGGCAGTCAGGTCGCATCACTGGCTGATCTCCAGATGCAGAGCAGGCAGGTGGCAGGATGGGTCCACCGGCTGTTTTCCAGCTGCTGGGATGAGTGAGGCAGTCACTCACACACAGGGACCAGCTGCCTGATATGACCACTGTTGCATGAAAAACCACCGGGCTTCTTACAAATAAAATAAACTTAATTCTGGAGTAATATTTTATTCTGCAGATGGGACTGGAGAGATTACAGAGGACTGGCTCAAGGTCACACAACTAACCAGCAGTGGAGGCAAGGATGAGATGCTCA